GTTAGATTCCTCTCATCAAGGGCTTTCAGAAGATATATAATATGTGGGGGTTTAGAGCCTCCTGCGAATTATGACCGGGGGGCGGGGGGAGACTTTTTAGGCCAAAGTCTCCCCCTCGCCCATTTTAATGTATTGGCTGGAGGCTGCCGGGGGAGACTTTGGCCTAAAAAGTCTCCCCCCCCGGGCATATGCCGTAAGAGGCGCGAAACCCCCACATATTATATATCTTCTGAAAGCTCTTGACGAGAAGAATCTAACCTATGAAGTCGCAACATGATACGTGCAATCCTGAAGAAGTTATGAGCTGTTGAAGTTCAAAAAGCTCTTTTTTACCTGCTTTTTCATGACTCTGGATCTCGGAGGTGTTTCAATGGATCGGAACGGACAAGACATATTCTGATAAGGCAAGCCTTACTCTATAAAACCTATGAAGTCGCAACATCATACACTTCCACATTCAAGATTTATAAGAGTTTAACTCTCAACAGTCAAAAAACACGCAAAAATGGCGTAAAGTTTTAGAACTCTGGTTTTCAACGACTATCTCTTAAATCGACCAGATTCCTTCACTAGCTGATAGAGCAACATTTACTCTTTAAAACCTATGAAGTCGCAACTGCTGACATCTTCAAACAACAGATTTATAACAGTGGAAATTTCGCATGATTTTTCACTATTTATTTATTCGAAATTCTGATTCTCGGCCGTTACTGCCTGGATCGATCTACTTTCTTCGCTGTACGTTATAACAAAATTTGCTTAATAAAATCCGTACAGTCCAACAAACTTCTACTCCAAATACACCATTTACTAAACACGTCTATTTTAAATTTTTATAAATAAAATTTATAGATATTTTTAATATTCATCGTATCTGTGGCCCTAAAGAGGGCCGTTGGGTCGACGTTAGACCTAGAAAGATAGCTCCGTTCGACCGTTCTATCCTCCCCCCCGCACCTCCCCCCCCCCCGTCGACGTTTTTGGGAGGTGAGTGTCCGACACTACCACCTTCACTTTTGGCCGGCCAGTGGTAGCTGAAACCACCTTCACTTTTGGGGGACCCGGCTCCCCCTATCGCACCTCTGATCCGAACCCTTTGAATTAGTTCAAAGCAAATAATTCTGTTAGAAAAGGGACCTCAACTTGGCAATGTGTGTCATGCACTTCTTTCCTCTTATTGGCAACAAAACACTCGCAACAGAGTGACTCATAATTTCGATCCATTGATTCGGATTTGATGCAGCTATGCGTAAATGTTTACTTATCAGCAGAATCCATTACATGTCTGCGTCTCCACACACCCGAGGGGCACTCAGATTTTTAGTAGACAGCCGCAGAAGAGTAAGACGTAGCTTAAGCAATAATTTCCGGACTTGTCAGCTAACAGAAGTGACGAAAGGTGGGAACTGTCGCACCTCCTTGAAATATCTTTGGTCATCATTGTGATTTCACATTACGGAGGAGTTCGCTTACCATCTACTTACCGTGACCGAACGATAACATCAGAGGAGGTAAGTTTAAGTCTGCTTTTAGCAAAAGCGTGCTGTTTTTTTTATAAATTCAACCTTATCTACTAATGAATGTCCTACAGTTGAGCACTTGCATTAAGGATCTCAGGAAGCACAGCAAGCCAAAATGCTGAAAGCAGAAAAAGGAAGGACGAAGTTCTAACAAGTGCCGAGGGGGTCTCTGAATATTATGCTGGCTGCACTACTGATCGAAGACGGAACCCCGAGTTCTTTCGCATACATAATGGAATCTATCGCAAGGAACTTTTACAACACCTTTTTCGATCATCAGCACCCTGCCAATATTTCCACTGGAGGAGTAACACCACGGGTTGTACTTGCTGTAGTCGCACCGCGAATCACACCATGAAGACGTCTACGACTATAAAAGTCTTTCGAAGATGACCCGATACAACATCTGTTGGACTTTGCATTACGCATACGAGAAGAATGTCCTGTCTTCGTGCCTTCGCGGAATACGTTGCGAAAGCCAAACATCGATGAACCGGTCACGTTATGACAAAGGCATACGATAGAAACACCAAGAACATCAGAGTGGATTCCTCGCTGAGCAAAACGTCCCCGAGGAAGACCACCAATGAGATGGGCAGACGTGCTCGTGAAACAAGGGACCAGCTCAGAAATGATGGACACGACCTCTGCACCCGGAACCAGTGGACGCAGCCACGATATCGACCAAGAAGATTGGGATATCTGAAGCGAGGGACTAAGACAAATGAAACTTTTGTGCTGAGGCCCGCACGCCACGTGAAGAAGGGCCACCTGAGTATCTAAGTAAGTAAGTATTTCTTCCATTCTTAATCGTGCAAAAAATTATCATATTTACAGATAAATACCAGATGTGGAAAATACATGCCTGAGCAAAGTAGGAAGTATTTAGTAAACTTAGTAACCATATAACTTAGTAAGTGAGAAAAGAAAACGCTGCTGAATTTTGGAGAATCACATAAGGCACTCAAGGGGCGAACTACCATACTCAGTGAAATATTCTAAGTAAAGATGTAATCAACAAGTGTTATGAGCAAAATTTTACGCTGATCTAAGAACTTTGAATGCAGTGATGATAATGAGCATGCAAGTTCGTATGGACGTAACCCAGTGCGCAATGTGCACGTGAAGTGGTGAAATTGGATAAATAATCTCCCGCAAAATTTCGTCAATGATCTTCCAGAAACTCGCAAAGATGAGGTGAAAATGTTCAGCGAGCTTTGTGATAATACATCTTCTTTCAGAATGAATGAATTTCTAATTAAAAAGAAAGTCGGTGTGCTCACCCCATCAAGGCGAATATTGTGACATATCAGCATTATCGACGATATTCTGCTTAGAGCAAACTCGATTTTTTTGTGTGACGTTTGTTCGCAACGGTGTGTCGCATCGCACGTCACATTTGAAGAGTAACCCATTCAGATGGAGCTGTTTCAGATTATCAAGCTGAAAAGAAGGCAGAGGGTTGTTTTTTCAAGTGAAAGAAGTAGTGATAAAGTCTGGAAAAACCTTTGTCTATCCAAATTCTATCTACCATAAATCCGCAGTTGCATTAGCTTTGCGGAACCGATCTAATTTTGTTATTATCAGACTAGATTGACTTCTATGAACGAAAGATCGGGAATTTTGATGAAAGAGATTTCTCAGACAACTGTTTACGAAA